GAAACCTAATCTATTCCCAACATAACAAAGACAACCTTAAAAAGAAGAGAGAGAGAGAGAGAGGAAGTCTGTTATATTCATGTTCTTGGGCTCAATGTTGGCACTAACACCTACATTGTCAGCAGTCCATGAGACTAGAAGTGGAGTTTGGGTGATGGTGTCACTTATCCACTGCGATTTGAACTGATATACCCAAACTCATTTCTAGACTGAATCAGACACAGAGTTATTTATTTGGTGAAGTCAGCATATTTGCAAATTGACCACAGGCAGTTTATGATGGAATGCCAATGGAATTCATAGCCACAAGGTGACCAAGAGCTTAGCAGAATAAAAAAGGATTTAAAATTTACATATCTTAGGAAACCATCCAGATTTAGAATTGTAAGCATTAAAAAACAGGCATGAGTTTTGGAAAAGGGCTAAACCACCACCTCCATCTGTAGAGGGATAGGAAGGAAATTCCCCTATGAACAGATTATCCATAATTGCCCAGTTCATGCCCAGTTTCTTGCACTTTCCTCTGAAGGAGTTAGTCCTGCACTGTTAGAAGTAGGGTGCTGGACTACAGAGGCCCCGGGTCTGATGTAGTCTGGCAAGTCATGCGTGCCTATGTTTTCTCTGAATTTGTTATTCATAGTATTTCTGCGAATTGGTACTACAGGAGCAACTCACTGTGACTATTCAATATTTACAATGTCTTTGCTAGACATTAGACCAGGGTGGGCAAACTTTTTGGCCCTATGGCCATATCGGCTACAGAAACTGTATGGAGGGCCGGGTAGGGAAGGCTGGGGGAGACTATGCCTCCCCAAACAGCAAGGCATGGCCTGGCCACCGCTCCCTATCCAGCCCCCCGGAACCTCAACCCCCCCCTGCTCCCCACCCCTGACTCCTGCATCCTATCCAATCCCCCCTGCTCTCTGTCCCCTGACCATCCCCCCAAGATGCCCATCCCCTATCCAATCCCCCCTGCTCCCCACCCCGACTGCCACCCCTGCCCCCTATCCAACCCTCCCTGCTCTCCTCGCCCCATGTTACCTGTGGGGTGGGGGAAACGGGGGCTCAGTCCTTTCCCTGTGTGTTTCCCCTGCTCGTTTGGCTGCTCTCCCTGGCAATCGGGGAGGGCTCACTCCCTGTCTGGGCTTGGCTGCTGGGGACAGGGGCCAAGCATGCTGGGGGTGGAGGGGGTCCGTGGCTTGCTCTGCCCCTGTCCCGGGCAGCAGGGCCCAGGCCCCTTGACTGCCTCCCCAGAACTCCCCCTGCTCCCTGCCCACGCCGCCCTGGAGCACCAGGTCTGGTGGTGCTATAGCTGTGTCGCCTGGCTGGAGCTGCAGCCACGCTGCCAAGGCGCTGGGGGAACTGTGACTGTAAGGGAGGCAGGGAGGCAGAAGGGGAGGGGCCAGGGGCTAGCCTCCACCCTGTTCACTGCGCTGCAGGGGAATTGGGCTGGCTCCTCTACAAGCCTGTCCTGACCCCGCTCCCTGGCAGGAGCTCGGGGACCAGAGGGAAGTGTCCTGCAGGTCGGATGTGGCCCACGGGCCATAGTTTGCCCCCCTCTGTACTAGACACTGGATTTATAGCTTATTACAACAATCTGTAACCCCCAACCCCTGTTTTTGTCCATGACTAGGGGTATTAATGGGCCACTTAGCACATATTCTAAGGGACTATATAAGGTTAACTGCTTATGCTAAATTATCCGTTTGATTTTGTATTTAACTGTGACACCGAGTACTTTTCACAGACCTGAAGAGCTCTGTGTAGTTGGAAAGCTTATCTAGCACAGCAACGGAAGTTGGTCCAATAAAAAATATTACCTCACCCACAATGTTCCCTCTAATTTTTCCCATTCATGTGCAGAATGAATTTTGTTATGTGCACCAATATGGAGGTGATGTGGGAGGGTGGGGCCGAGAGGTTTGAAGTGTGAGGTGGGGCTCAGGGCTGGGGCAGAGGGTGTGTGTGTAGGGGGGGGTGAGGGCTCTGGCTGGAGTGCGGGCTCTGGGGTGTGGCTGGGGATGAGGGGTTTGGGGTACGGGAGGGGGCTCAGGGCTAGGGTTGGTGTGCAGGGGGTGAGGGCTGTGGGGTTTGGGATTCAGGTTGCCCAGGGCTGCAGCAGGGAGAGAGGACTCCCTGCATCAGCCCCGGGGCTGGGGAGGTGTCTGGCCCTGCGGCTGTGTGTGTGGGACATCTGGTCCCGCCGCACCACAGCCCTGGGGCTGGGAGGGGGAGAGGTGTCTGGCCCTGCTGCACCACAGGCCCGGGGCTGTGGGAGTTGCCGTGGCCCTGCACACCCCAAGCTCCCCCATCAACACCCCCCATGCCCCTGAGTGCAGTGTGCATGCCTGCACGGCCCTTTGTGGCTTTCTGCACAGCTGTGCACCTTAGAGAGAACGTAGCTCACCCACCTTGTCTCTCTAATATCCTGGGACTGACATGGCTACAACACTGCATACTGTATTTATAACAAATGGCATGTTGGTTAGCTTTGATTGGACAGATGTGTCACACTATGCTGTTTCTATTCCCTGACAGGTAAAGTGTAACAATCAGATTTGGATACAAACACTCAACTTAAAAGTTCAAAATTTGATTTCTGCAAATATTCTCTAATATATGTTTAAAATTCATGGTGACTTACGAACAATCCTGCTTGTGAATGTGTTTGCAAGGACCCCACTTCTACACCGCCACCCATGTGTCTCGACACCTGTTCCACCCATAGCCACATTAACTTCAGTGGCACTTTACATAGGAGCAATGACCAGCCAGCTGGATGGAGCTGAAAGATCGGGACATAAAATATTTGTGGAAAACAGAAAAGGGCCACAAATCAAATAAAACAATTTCCATGATTGACTGAGTTGTTCACCTGGCTTAATTCATTATTATCGTATAAATACATGATTGGAATTAGGGACGACTGTGAAGGGGGAGGCCCAGAAGAAAGAGTGTGATGCAGTATTAAAGGCAGAAGAAAAACCATGATGGAACAAATCCTGCTGGTCTTACTCTTGCAAGGGATCCCTTGTCTTATGGGGACGCCTTACCTGAGTAAAGCCAGTAGGGTTTGACTAATTTGTACAGGATTATTTTCTGTTGTCCTCTCTATGTTGTATAAATCTCCAACTAAAATCTGAAAGTTTGTAGAGCAAAAAACATTGAGTCAAAATTTTAAATACATATTTTCTTCATAAAGTTCAGTAGAAGCAAAGTATTCTGGTAAAGTACTTTTTATTTATTTACAGTATTTATGTTTTCTATTTGTACATACCTACAGCAACATCAAAAATTATTCACAAAGCTTAACTGAATGTAAAAATGTTATTTCATTGGACATTTGACCTATCAGCTTGATATTATGGAAAAGGTTGACTTTTTCCCCCATGCAGTATCCAGATTGTCTGAGCATTATTTTTAAGTTTTCTGGTACATTTAGGGCCACATTTAAAAAAAAAGTCTCTAAACATGCACACCTAAATTTGCACACTTTTGTGTACAATTTTAGTCATCCAATTTTTTTAACACAAACTCTGATTTGCAGATGTGAGTAGAGGGGCATGCAAAAAATTGAGCACATGAAAATGTGCGCACAAAATATCAGGAGTGTAAATTTAGAGTTCAAGCTCAGGCTATTTTGAAAATTTAGCCCCCACGTGTATATAAAGTTTGACCAAGGAAGTGTTTTCTCAGTGCTACCAAAACTATGGTTCATTTTACTTTTTAAATAAGGCTTTTATTTCTGAGATACTAGATATTTATCAGGTTCTCACATATTCATACTTGCCTCTCTGTGCAGACCCATTACCAAAGACTTATAGCAATAATAAGAAATGGCCACTCGCTTATTGCCATGTCCTCATTGGAAAAAAGTGTTAAGTGCTCACTTTTATATGATTTTCAGAGTGGGAAAACAATTACATTAAACTTATATAAAATTGTATTTTCCTTTGCAACCAAATGGTAACAGTTTTACAATACATAACATTCAAACTCTGGGCCAAACTGTGATCGCCTTTTGCTCACACAAATAGTTTCCTTTAAATTAATAGGACTACTAGAAAAGTAAGGCAATTATAACCTGACACTGCTTAGAAATAAAGGATAAAGGTTTGAGATTACATTTGTGAAAACTGGTTAGTCAAGTTACAGTCCTATCCTCTTGACCTGAAGCTCAAACTGCAAAAGGAGTTTTTTAAGGTAGAGTTGAATTCTTCAATTTGCCCTTTAGTGCTAAGTAGACATAGCGTGTGGGGATTTTGACTCTATTAATGCCATTCCCTAAACTGAAAACCAGGAAGCAGATGGTAAATGTACTGCAGGAGGAAAGTAGAAACCCTGAATTGCAGTCTGGGAGAGCTTCTTGCTGCACTCACTTCTTTCTACACACATTTAACTCCTGAAGCTGAATTCAGTAATAATGTAGGGTCTGATTTTCAGCATAATCTTAAATGGTTTTCCCTTTTTCTGCCCACAATTGAGTGGATATGAATTCTTGCAGATACAATATTTCACCACAATTTAATTACAGGCATAATGTCAGTCATTTAGTAGTCCAAATATCTGACTGCAATGAGGAAGGTAAATGCTGTTTCTACAAATAACTAAAGCCACCATTTTAGGTGCCCACAAATTGTAGGCACACAGACAAAGGCCAGGTTTTGATAACCTGATCCTTTAAATGCAGTAAAATCTGGGCTATTATCCATGTATATGAATTCCTGGATATGTCTGTATATATATTGCTATTACTATAGCAATGTCACTGGGAGATAATTTTCTAATAACGTGTCCATTCTCCTGCAATCTAACCTATTCAGCTAATATCATGGAGAAATATTTATATAGCAGTGAACTGATCTGTATGACCAAACAAGTCCCTTAAGCCATAACTTGCCAGGTCCTTTTGGTATCTTGAAAGTACAAGTCTTGCAACGTGCTACCTGTTTGATGTATCTTGGTGTCACAGTCAGCTGGTGTTCCTTATCACTGAGACAAGCCAATCTTTCAGCAATAATCTCAGCAAGATCTTGGATTTCACAGCAATAGGCTCATTCCCCCAAGCCAGTGCTGATATTACATCCACATATTTCTTTTTGGCAGAAGATCAACAGAACAGTTATACAATTGGTGAGAGTGAGAGTCCACCCTTGTCTTCTAAACATTAAAAAACCCCAAACAATCATTTTGACCCATTCTACTGAGCTGAAAATGACATCAGTACCTGTTGACTGTGGGGCAGTAAAATGCTATCTCTTAGATTTTTTCATAGCACAGAATGTGCTGGCTGTTATTTGAGTCTACTGTATTCCTCAATTTTTCTCTTCAAAAAGGAATATAAGTTAAGCTTAGGTTCAGAAATGCATATGTTTTACTTAAAAACATTCACCTGTTCAAAATTCAAAATAAACTTTATGGGATACAGTGTGTTTTTTTAAATAACATTTCATTCAAACTGTATATAATTCATTAAAGTATTCATACATCAAACAATGGTTAACCCTTGAAAATGTGTAGAAAAAGATTTTCACACAAAAAAGGAAAACAAAATTCTGAGGTATCACACTCACACATACACCCAAACACACACGCAGGCTGCAGCAAAAGCAGAAAATTATAGGCCCAAAAGAAAATGATGATTGATTGTTCTATTAGAGAGTCCAGGTAGCTCAGGAAAAAACACAAAAATAAACCCCCCCACAATAGTCCTCTGAGTAAAGAACTACCTCAAGAAAGTTCAAGTGCATTGGAGACCTGATCACCTAAACTGTTTCTGCAAAGCAGCTCCCTGCACCTGAGAGAAATGCAGCCCAAGGTGACTTGTGCAAATATAAGGAATCAGTTGAGGCTATTTCCTTTTAGTCCTTAAACACACGAGGGGTGTCCAAAGATTCACTTAGTCTTTGATCATGCAAGATACTGCTGGAGTGCTGTCTTCGCCCTGAAATCACAAATATTCCATTAGCCATTGAATCTGGACTTCAAAAAACAAACACCCGCTGGAGATTCATGGTTAACATTTATCCCAGATGACATTTTGTGCACAAGGCTAGTGTGTGAGGGAGGAACTGTTAGTGTGGCAATAAAAGGCTAAACTATTAATACGTTAAGATGGCAAAGCCTGAGGTTTCTCAGCAAAAGTAGACCCTAATGCCATTTGTGCTGTTTTCTTCGGCTAGGAGGAAAACTCTTTTATGCTACATGAGCAATGAGTAGTGCCAAACAGTCATTAAACCAGATCTAATCCACTGGTCTGGATTGCACCCCAGAATATGACAACATGGAAGGAGTGCATAAGTCCTCTTTGCTCCAGGATTGCACTAGTAGCTCATACTGAGCTGTCTGTCCACTCTCACTCATAGATCCTTTTCAGAGCCATTGCTTTCCAGGAAACAATGCCCCATTCTGTAGGTTTGGGCTGCATTCCTTGTTCCTAGACAAGGCCGGTTCTAGGCACCAGCAAACCAAGCACGTGCTTGGGGCGGCACATTTTCAGGGGCAGCATTCCAGCAACCTTTTTTTTTTTTTTTTGCGCTTTGGGCGGCAAAAGCCTAGAGACGGCCCTGGCAGCAGCAGCGCGTTGTGCCCGGGGGCGCCCTAGGGCCGCTGCAGTTCATGCCGTGGGGGAGCAGCGCTCGCACCTTGTGGCTGGGCCAGGCAGACTCCAAGCGGGCGGACACTTGGGCTGGGGGCCGCCCCGCGGGGCACATGGAGCCACCTGCACGTGCCGCAGGACGGCCGCCCCCCAGCGCTGCAGCCGGGGCTGGGCGAAGCGGCCCGAGCCGCCCAGGGACTGCAGCAGGGCGGCCAGAAGCAACAGCAGCAGCGGGGCCATAGAGGGCGGGGCGCTTCCATGCGGGGCCAGCATCCTGCTTTCCGGGGCTCCGCTCCCTCTGGGGCTGCCCTGCCCCGGTTCCTCAGCCCTCTGCCAGGGCGGTCCCCCAGCTCTGCCCTCCTAGGTCCCAGCTGGTCCTGGAGGCGACCCTGGGCTGAGGCGCGGCCTGGGAGCCCCGCTGCTTACCCCGACACTGCCAGTGCCGGACCGGCTGGAGGCGAGGGGGGAGCAGGCAGAGTCAGCACTGGTGGGGGGGAGCCCAGGGCTGGGGCAGCAGGGCATGCGGGTGGGGGAGGGCACTGGTGGTGGTGGTGGGGGGGTGAGAGCCCAGGGCTCAGGTGGGGGGCAGCCAAAAATTTTTTTGTTTGGGGTGGCAAAAAACCTAGAGCCGGCCCTGTTCCTAGATGTATAACTTTGAACTTGGCTGTATTTAAAAGGTCCCTTGAAATATGTAACTACTTATGCTAAACAAACTGTTCCACCTTGTGTTTAGCTGTGACACTAAGTACCTTTCCCAGACCTGAAGAAGAGCTCTGTGTAAGGTTTAAAGCTTGTCTCACCAAACAGAAGTTCATCCAATAAAAGATATTACCTCACCCACCATGTCTCTCTAATATCCTGGGACTGACATGGCTACAACACTGCATACTACTAAAGTTACACATTAAGTCTGCAAGACTGGATAAATTATATTCAAGATTTAAAAAAATTAGTTGAGGATCCTGAAACCTCCTTAATTTTTAGTAAAACATGGAATACTGGAAAAGTTCCAGAGACCTGGAAAAGTGCTAATGTTGTGTCAACATGTACTGCTGTTTTTGAGGAGGGAGATGATGTATGAGTGGATAACCATCTCGGTGTCTGTCCTGCCTTAGGACTTGTCATAAATCCTACTTAGCAAGCATTCTTCAAATAAGATGAATATCATATTTTATTCATATGTGGCAGGACTCATCAATGTAAAGGGCCTGTCTTCTGCATGCAGCACTGTCTCATGGATTTTTCTGTAATCCAAATGCTTTCAAAACAAGATGGTTTTTTTTAAAAAGCACAGAATTCCCTCTGATCTCTATTTTGGGGGTTCTTTTATACTTACTTGTCACAAAGATTTGGATCTGATGACTGACTCAGTTTGTGTAGAATATCTACTATTCCTATATCTCGTAGTTTATCTTGGCGTTCTTGTGAACCTAAAAAAAATAAATCACAATTATAGGGGATAACATCAAACAAGTGATGTATTAAAAATGATAAAAAAGAATTGGAGACAGGCATGTGCTATGAGGGGATATAATATGTGGATGCAAATAAAATGCTGTGCTACGAAGCCCTTTAAGTCTACTTAACCTATGGCTGCTCTGTCTTTTCCTTTTGGAAGAAGCTACTAAATTTTTTTCCCTTCAATTTTTTCACATGAATAAATGAGAGAAAATTAAACAGGCAAGAATCTTAAGATATTTTATTATAAAGTAAGGAGTTTGATTCTGACTGGCTTCTTCCTTTCCAACTCTGTCTCTGACACTGGGTGTATTTAGCTAAAAACTTGTTACAGAGAAACTTCTAGCACTCAGAGTACAACACAAGCTAATACAGGAAATCAGAATGCTGGAAATACAGCGTGAAGTTTTACATGCTGAAGTGAGATTTGTTCCTGATGCTCCACATTCGCAAATTACTCAGCAGGAGAGTGGGAGATCAAACTACAAAAATAAGTCTCCTTGTTGAGGAACACCACAGCAGATTTAGAGAATATAACCACCAATCTAAGAGTCATTCTCCCCCAACGCCATTTCCACTCACACCACCCCCTCCCTAGCACTGCTCCCATCTCCTGCTCTGCAACTCCGTGGCCTTCCAACTCCTGATTCACAGGATATGTCTGAACTGCAATGTAAGCCCGAGCTTAGACTCAGGCTCAAGCCCAAACACCCTTCCTGTCTAACACATAATTCTGTCTGATCTGGGCCCAAGCCCAGGACCCTACAGGGGTGAAGGGTTTGAGCCCAGGCCCTGCAATGACTTGGGTCCAAATGCCATCATTCTGCAATGTGGAAACAGCTTGGGCCCGGGCCTCCCAGACTCAAGTCCTGAGAGTCCACCAATGCTATTCAACACTCCCATGGGATGGTGTTCTCTGTGATTTTTATCCCAAGACTGGCCAATCAACTCCCAAGAAATGGAAGCCAGTCCTCTAGGTAAAGTACAGCTGCTCAGCATTTAACCCTTCCATTTTATTCCGACCGCTGAGCCGCAAGCAAAGTGAACCTTCTTCTGAGTTTGTAATGGCCACCAACATGTACAAGTCCTTTGCCAAGTGTGCTGCTACGTGGTCACAGGAACATAGTCTGATTTTGGTTAATCAGTGGTGCGAGGTGAGCAAACAGTTTGACTTCAGCAAGAATTCGAGGAATGACCACAAGTACCAGGAAATAGCAAAGAAGCTGGCAGCACTGGGGATTCGCTTGACTGGTTAACCAGTGCAGAGAGCGGATTAAGTGGCTCAAAATGACCACTGTAAGCCAGGCATGAGAACTGCACCTCTGGAAACTCGCTGTCATCCTGCCCCTTTTACAAAGACCTTGAATGGGTGCTGGATACTGTGCCAAGCACTGAGCCACAAATGCTTCACGACAGTCTGTTAAGCTTGGATGGTGACCTTCTCACCCCCGAATCCAGTATAGGACTGGAGGGGACCCATCATGTACCAGATGAGGCTGCTGAAGTGACCAAACTGGGACAGTCCCTGAGGAAGCTTTGCAGCACATTCTAGGTCCCTACTCAGAGGAGCTATTTGATGCCATCCTGGCGGAGCAACCTGCCACACAACTGGCAGCAGAAACAAGAGGCAGTAGCCCCTCAGCCTGGTTAATTTCTGGCTCCATGTTCGTTGTTGTTAATATAGGGATGGGAGGGATTTCCGGTTTATGACCCAAAATTTATTACAAACTGCAGGAAGAAGCATGTATCCACTAATGGTGGATTTTATTACCGTTACTGCACCATATATCATATAATGTATATTTCAAACAATAATGGTGAACACATAAGGTGTAGCCTGTAAATTGTATCCAAACACTGTTTCTCAATACATTCATCTACTCAATACTATAAATTCACAGGTTCTTGGCCCCCACCCTCCACTGCATAAGCAGCTATGTCATTCACAAGTACAATGCATGGCAATCAATTCTCTCCCCACCTCATTTCATTAAGTGATAATGGCAATATCTCATTTACTGCAAACCCTGTACAGTCACATTCATAAACGCATATTCTCCATCTTCCATGGGGTCATGCAAGTCCATAATGTGGGTGCACAAAGCATCCCCGATTTGTGTTGTCCTTCAGGAACCATTAAGCTGTGTCACAGCGACCAGCTGGGATCTTAGTCTCATTGCCCTCCCTCCCCCAGCCTCCCTATTGTCTATAATAATCACTTGCTGCATCTTGCATCTAGACCTTAAGCCCACTGGGGCATGGACTGTATTTCACTGTGTTTGTATAGGGCATACGTAGTCAAGACTGAGTCCCATTGTACTACTACCTAACATTTGCCATTCTCTTCCTTGAGAGGATTTTGTTTTGACAATACTTTCTGTCCAAGACAATACATAAAAGTATGAGAGTCTCTTACCTTCTTCTTCATTCCATATGAGATTAGATATGCAAAACATGGCAGCAAGCTGAAGTTTAGCATTCGAATGACTCTGAATATAGAAACAGAATTTTTGGAGTTTCAGAAGCTAAATATCACAAAACTTTGTAGATGTACATTTTCTAACATTCACTTAAGGACTGAGGTAAAAAAGCATGAGCAATTCCTCATCCACGATCTGCACCAAAGACATTACTGCTATTTAGGGCAGTCAGGTACAGTGTTCTTTGAATGGAGAGTTATTTTGTCCTTGATTTCAAAACAGATTCTACCTTCACCATATTGCAGACATTGTTACACTCACTACACTAACCATGAAGTCAAGAGGCTCTTGCTGCTGCCACTCTCCCATCTGGCATCAGGTTCAGTCCAGTCCAGCCTATAGGTCATCAGGAAGATTGTACCAGCCACACTGCTCCTGAGCATAACTGTGTTCTCCTCAGACTTGCTTTCTATTTCGGGACTCTCACTCTCAGGCAGCTGGGATAAGCCTGTTAATATCTGGGGTTTCCTCAGGACTGCTGTGTTTCTGTTATGTCTTGAGATACCAGCAAGTTGTTTTCAACACAGTTATAAAATATTTGTTTTGATTCTGCCTTGGCCTGTTGTTCAAGAGGCACCAAATGGAAGGACAGCTATGCACAGACTGTGTTCCCTCATTCCTATAGCAACTAGCCTGGTCTTTAATAGGTGTTTGGGGAACATGTCTATTTAGATTTCTCTGCTGAACTGGTTGTGTAACAAAGCGTTGGTTCTGGTGCTCAGACACACATCCCTTCACTCTGTTCCAAGGCTCAGTTGCCCCTTTAATAATGAGTTCATGGAGCACATGATGGAGTCATGTGACTGCAAGTTGAGAGGGCCCTTCCATGTGTGAAACTGAGCAGGCTGAGAAGGGTGGAGACACCGAACTTTTTGCGCTGCGCTCCCCATTTGAGTTACAATTTTTTGTTGTACCCCCCAACTCAAACAGGTTTGGAAGCCCACTAAGGTGAGTCAGGGGTGCAGGTGGGGCTCCCTCCCTGAGCCCTGCTGTGCGGGGCTGGCCCGAGCCACCTGGTGTTGCTACTCCCCCTCGCCGAACATTTCTCACTCCCCACAGTTTGAAAACTTCTAGAAGCTATTGCTAAATGGAAGGCAGAAATCTGGGGGAAGGGACATGCCCCCCATGTGTCGCCTCTGCCTATCTCAGATGGGGGTACGCGGCAGACTATATTAAAAGTAGTCAAAAAAAAGTCTGAAAACCATTGACCTACCCCAAGAGAAGCAGCAAAGGGATGAACTCATCTCTATCTATCCCAATGAGATGCTAACTAGAGGGGTACAGATCAGTGTTAATGCCACACAGGCAGGTTAACAAACCAACACTGGAGTCCATGCTCGCCTCAGCTAAAGGACATGCAACGGAGCCAATACTTGAGGGGCCGAACAAGCCTGAATCTGTTGTTCTTCAGGCCATGCTGCAAGGCACTTCTTTTCAGGGCTGTTGAAGGCTAGTCTCGCTAGGGGTGACGTGGGGACAGGGTGGATTTGATTTAAATCACTAGTCAGGAAGACTCTATTTAATCATGGATTTCTACATAAAAATGCATTCTTGTTGGTTGTTATAATCTTAATACATATTCTTCACAACTCAGAGAGAAATGTAGGTTTAATTTTTAGAAGGTACACACTATACATTTTTAAACAGTGATTTATTTTTAAAACTTTTCAGATTAGTTTTACAGCTATATCAGAAAATGAATGATTGGTTATTTTATTTACCAAAGGTAATTGAAGCAGATATTTATGAAGTCATTGGGAGGTGAACTATCACCAATTCAACAGGTTAATCATTAATATTTGGAGGATTTTCTTGCCATGCTGTATTAGGAGGAGAACACCACCAGACAGACATTTACATTGTTTTATTTAACTAAAACAACGTTATGTATTCTGGATTTTTTTGTTCGACAGCAAACATATCATATTTTAACAAAACAAGCATTTAGTTAAACATTCAAGTTTTTTAAAATCAGGTTTATTTTTGTTAAAATTGTTTTTAACAAAAATAGTTAAATGAAAATTAAAAAAAAAGTTAAATCGACTATGTCAGCCAGGTCAACATGAGAAACTTAAAATATTGGCTTCTGCAGCTAACTCAGTCGTCTTCACCTTCATTTTCCTGTTTGTTCATAATCTGGAAAAGAAAACCAAGCTTTCCTGCTTTTTCAGGTCCCAAACGATTTCTCAATTTGGAATGAATTAGTCCAAAGGAAGAAAATATTCTTTCTACACCAGCAGAAGAGCCTACTGCTATTAAAAGCGAGATTATCACTTCAACAGTCTCTGAATCCAAGTGCTTAGGTGACTTCCACCAGTTCACTGGTGTGACTTTCTTTAAAACATCATCAGCAAACATGTATTTCTTGAATGGTTCATCCTTAGCTCTGAAGTTTATTATAGTTGGCTTTATGGAGGGATGATTGCTGGATGTCCACGTCATAAGCCAACTCCTCTTCTTCAGCAGTTAAGGTTTGACCTTGGTACCGAGTATTGAGAATATTTGCAAGAAAATGAGCTGGTGATAGTGCTTGTCCCATTCATTTTTTTAATGCTTGTAATTTAACTCTGCCATTGCATATTTCTCTTTTTAAGATCTCACTCAGTTCCTTCCAAATTTCAACAGCGTCAGCAATAAAACAGCTATTTCCCTGCATTTTGTTCAAGGCTACAGAAATAGGCTTCAGGGTACTCAGCATGTGTTCAACATCTCTTAAGCCCAATGTTGAGAATTTTGGCTGTGATTGTGAAAAAATAGATTGCACTGTTTTGATTAGGCCAGTTCTTGATATAGTGCTCAAAACAGTCCACTACTGAGTTCCTTCGCACTTCTTGTGGGAGAGTTAGCTTGGTTCCTCCCACTTTCTTCAGAGCAGCTGCTGCAAAGTGGTTGTTACAGAAGTATTTTGCAATTTCAACAACATTAGCCTTTATTTCTGGAACACTGAAGTCTTTGGCTAGGAGGTGCATCAAATGAGGACTGCAACTGTATGTTATTGGCTTGGCACCCTCTTCTAAATTTCTTCTCATCTTGGATACATTTGCTGCTTGCATTGTCTGTGACGAAGCTGCATACTAGACATTTGAATTTTTGTTCAGTTTGTTATAGCTTTTACTGCTACTTCTTGTAAGTATTCTGCTGTTGTGTGCATTTCCTGATGTATCAGTTGTTTCTGTAAGGAATTCGTTCCCTTCTTCTGTTGTCACACAAGCACGTACAACAGGATCATTGTGGACATTGCTCCACCCATCAAGACTCAGGTTAACAATTTCACCCTCTAGACCTTTTGCACACTGCTCAATTTCTCTTTCATACACTTTATCCATGAATTTGCCTGCGACATCTGCTCTGTTGGGTGGACTGTATCCTGGTCTTAATGACTGGATCATATTAATGAAGTGTGGGTTCTCAGTCATACAAAAAGGAGAGTTTGTTGCATAAGCAAACTGGGCAATTTTTTCATCAATTACCTCTTTTTGTAATCTGCTGGTTCTTAGCACGAACTTATCTATGGTTGTTTCTGGATGATGGAGATTTTTTTTTTCCTTTTTGCTACAGGTAATATACTGTGGCTATGTGACATACATGATGCGACTGAAACATTATCATTGGCAGATAACTCTGAAACTATAGAAAATGATGGTGATCTTGAAGGTGGATAGTTTTCAGAATCCTGTATGTTGAGGATGGATTCTCCTAAACAAAATAATTCAATGCAGTTATTTAATTATTATTACCATACTGCTCATTTAGTATTACTCATTGCATTCACTGACACTCAGTACTACTTTAAAGGTGAAATTATAAAAGGAAGATCTGCCTATTTCAGCTATTTATTTTTTATTTCAACTGCATCTAAAATAGAGTAACTCCTATATTTTTTGCTCAAACATGAGAATTCAAGACTAGTCCAGAAGGAAGACAGGCAGGCCTTAAGAAAGAAGTATGAAATAAAAAAAGTTTACCAACCTGAAGATCCTGCATGTTCAGACAGGTTCCTTTCATCATCTTCAATGCAGCTTCCTCGTGAGAAGGAACACTTCTCATGATGTTGTTTCATTGGAGCAACCAGGTCTTGCATTTCTTTGTTGCACTGTTTGCGTTTTGCATGCATGCCTCTCTTACCCACAGGTAGAGGAACTTCATTAAAATATTCCCAAATTGGGTCTCTTTTATGACCTGCTGCCATTATAGGTTTTCCCTTCTAGTGAGAGAATGGTATTGTAGATCTCAAATCAATGAAGGCTACACTCAGAAAGTCCTCAAGACTTCTGGAATATGCGGCTCAAACAGTGTCACTTTTGTTTCTACTGCCTGTCCCTCCCTTTTCACATTTATCTCCAGACGTCTTCTCATTGTCCAGATCTGTTCGGCCCCCAACAATCTTCTATTCGTTGAACTTTTTGAAACTTTGCACTTTTAGAGAAAGGTAAGGGATTGACTCTGTATACACAAATTTGCAGAGGGACAATAGGGTTGAGGTCTGTTATTTCTCACCTCTATATATTATTCATTTATTTAAAAACATTTTTGCTGTTAACAAGCATGTTATCTCTGGAGACACAAATCCACAGTCTGAGAACTGCAAAACTAAGCATCTTTGATGGTATCTTCTAGACTGAGCACTGAGTTCCATTGGGTAGATAGAAAGATTAACCTAAATAATCTATACAGAAGCCCCTGGAACCCCATAAGATTGGGTCCCTAATCCATGAACTATTGGAACACATTTACAAAACTTTTCTTAAACATTACATGACTATATTGTCTCATACTATAGAATTAGAATTTATAATCCCTATTCCATGATGAGATATCTTTGAGCTATACTGCATCTTAATTAAAACTATCTTTAGATAGGTTTTTTCCTCAAAAAGCATTTTATCAAAAAAATCTGATTTAAATAAAAAAAATCAATTTTTTTTTAATCATTGATTTTATCCACCCTGCATGGGGAAATGGGGCATTTGGGTTATTGCTTTGTGCTGCTGGTTATTTGGTATTATTGTGTTTTGGGTTTGCTGTTTCTTTTTTGATTTACCCTGTTTACGTAAATGTCAGAAGTGCCCAGGATGCAAAGATGGGGCTTCTTGTTTTGTACAATAAAACATTTACATTAAATAGGCTGGAAAGGCCTGGGAGCCGAAGAAATCTTGCTGCCTAGGGAAAGGGCGAAGCCAAACAGCACTAAGCATGGGTTAGCCTTCTACTAGGATGCAGCTTCCTTTTCTTGCAGCTGCCTGAGATCTGGAGGATTGGAGTCTGTGACCCCAAGCTCCCCCTACCCCAAGGGGAGCATTTATCAAAATCTCTATCAGATATACCTAATTAAGGCGGAAACACCTTCCCTTCCATTACTGTCTGGTGCTACATGTGTACCTTAATACACTGTAAGGCTGCTGTGGGAGCCTTAATTTTTGGATTTCCCTTTTGACTGAGTCACCAGCCTTAACACTGCCTTCATGTAGTGTTTGAACCGAACTAACACATGCTCTCTGTACAGATAGATATAGAGAAATTAAGTGTTTGATACTGAATACCAGTCATTTGTATAACTTTTAAGCCATGTTAGAGTACCCACTTTCAACTCCTGCAAAGAAGAGAGGGCAGACCCTTCAAAGAAATTCCCCATACCATGTAATACTTAATTTTCTGCAAGATGTCATCATTGGTCATAATGAGTTCTTTTGCTGTTGTTCCATCTGCTATGTTGGCGAGTATACATAATGTCTGAAAAAGAGAGAAAGTTGTCATTTGCAGTACATCTGTGAATCTCAGCTTTCCGGACAGTTCCAACCTTTCATGGTGAACACTTCTTTATCAGAATCTGGAGTTTCCAGATTGTTACACTGAGGACCAAGTACTCTGTTGGCTCAATGCCACTGACTCCAATGGTGTTATGCCAGCAGAGAATTTAGCCCTGAGTTCTTGACGAAACCACACTAATAGAACAATCATAGTCATCGGGGATAGCCATTTTAGACTTGATTCTGATCATGAGGGAGGAACCTGTAACAAATCTGAAGGTGGAAAGTGAAAGTGATAATGAAATGATAGATTTAATGATTCTAAGGAAAGGAAGGAGTGAGAGCAACAGAATAAGGACAATAGACTTCAAAAAAGCAGATTAAAAATCATAGAACGGATAGGTAAGGTCCCATGGGAAGGAAGTTAAGGAAAAACAGAATTCAGGAGTGTTGGCAATTTCTTAAGCAGACAATAGCAAAGGCACAACTACAAACTATCCCAATGCAAAGGAAAGACAGGAAGAATAATAAGAGGCCAATATGACTCCATAAGGAGCTTTTTAGTGACCTGAAAATCAAAAAGGAATCTTACAAAAAGTGGATGAATTGCTATGGAGGAGTACAAAAGAATAGCAGAAGCATGTAGGGACAAAAATAAGAAAGGCTACAACACAAAATGAGTTACACCTACCCAGGGACATAAAAAGCAAGAAGAGGTACTTTAAATACATTAGGATCAAGAGAAAGACGAAGGAAAGTGTAGATCCTTAACTTAGTTGGGAAGGGGAGCTAATAATTGATGACATCAAAAGGCTGAGGTGTTTAATGCCTATTTTGCTTCAGTCCTCACTAAGAAGGGTAACAGTGACCAGATGCTCAACACAATTAATATTAACCACAAGGGGAAAGGTACCTAGGCCAAAATAGAGAAAGACCAGGTTAAAGACTTTTTAGATAATTTAGATGTAATTCAAGGGCCTGATGAAGTTGGACTAGATGACCTCCTGAGGTCTCTTCCAACCCTACTCTTCTATGATTTATCCTAGGGTACTTAATGAATTAGCTGAAGCAATCTCAGAACCATTAGCGATGATCTTCGAGAACTCATGGAGGACAGGTGAGGACTCAGAGGACTGGAGAAGGGCAAACCTAGTACCTATCTTTAAAAAGGGGAAACAAAAAGCACCCAGGGAATTAAAGACCAGTCAGCCTTTGAGATCTGGGAAGATACTGGAACAAATTATTAAACAATCAATTTGTGAGCACCTAGAGAATAATAGCATTATAAGGAATAGCCAGAATGGACTATTATGACTAACAAACCTAATTTCCTATGGAGACCATGTGGCCACCCTCCAAATGTCCAGTGTGGAAATGTCACCGAGGAACACTATTGATATCACTTGTGCTCTTGTGGAGTGAGCCCATATCTGCTGAGGAGGCATAGCCAAAGCCATCTCATATGCAGCCTTGATACAGGATGTTATTCATCTAGAGATGATCTGTGCAGAGACCGTTTGCTCTTCTATTCCAAGTAAAGGTGTGGATTGAGGACCATGTCACAGCCCTGCTAATTTCCTGGGTCGGAACCTGGGCCAGGAATGCCGCTGAAGATGCCTGCGCCCTTGTGGAGTGCGCTGTCAGAGTGGGGGCAGGTACTTTCACCAGGTCATAGCACATCTGGATGCATGATGTAATCCATGATGAAATTCTTTGAGAAGAGATTGGGAGCCTTTCATTCTGTCTGCTACTGTGATGAATAGCTGAATAGATTTTTGAAACAGCTTTGTCCGTTCGATATAGAAGGCTCCGACGAACCTCCAAGGAGTGGAGTTTTTGTTCCGGGCTCTTTGTGTGTGGCTTGGAATAGAAAACTGGGAGAAAAATATCCTGATTAACATGAAACTGGGAGACAACTTTCGGGAGGAAGGCTGGGTGTGGCCAAAGCTGAACCTTGTCCTTATACAACATTGTAAGGAGGCTCAGATGTTAGGGCCTTAAGTTCAGATACCCTCCTAGCAGAGGTTATTGCCACCTTCCAGGAGAGAGAGAGCAGAGAACATGTCACAAGTGGTTCAAAGGGAAGTCCCATTAGTTTGGAAAGAACAAGGTTAAGGTCCCAGGCTGGGATCGGCTGCCGTACTTGAGAGTATAACCTGTCAAGCCCTTTAAGAAAGCATCCAACTATTGGGTTGATGAAGACTGACCAGCCCGCCACGCCTGGGTGAAAGGTGAAAATGGCAGCCAAATGGACTTTTATTGATGACATAGAAAGCCCTTGCTGCTTTAGGTGCAGGAGGTAGTTCAAGATAAAGGATATTGTCGAGTGCGTAGAAGACATGCGATTTTGCAATGACCGAATTGTGAATCTCTTCTATTTGGCTAAGTAGGTGGTCCTAGTGGACAGTTTCCTACTGACAAGGATGACTTCCCTAACTGGATCAGAGCAAGCCAGCTCCGTTGGGTTTAGCCATGGAGCTTCCAAGCTGTGAAGTGAAAAGATTCGATGTTGGGGTGTTGAAGGCGGCTGTGGTTCTAAGTTATCAGGTCTGGTAGCAGCGGTAAGGTAATTGGGGTTTCCACTGACCTCTCCAGAAGAGACATGTATCCAGTGCTGAGGTGGCCAGGCTAGAGCTATCAATATCACCGAGGCTTTGTCCCTCCAAATCTTGAGTAGCACCTTGTGGATGAGTGGGATGGGTGGAAACGCATAAAGGAGGTGGTCCTTCCAGGGAAGAAGGAATGCGTCTGCGATCAAGCCCAGGTTGTGATTCAGGAAGGAGCAGAACTGAGGACACTTCCTGTTGTGTCTTGTGGTGAACAAGTCTATCTGAGGAATTCCCCACAGTCAGAAGATAGTGTTCACGACATCTGGGAGGATGGACCACTCATCGTTGTGAAAGGACCTGCTGAGACAGTCCACCAACTCATACTGAACTCCGGGGAGATAAAATGCCTCCAGGTGTACTGAGTAAGCTATGCAGAAGTTTGAGGGCTTCCTGGCAGAGGGGAGAGGAGTGTGCTCCCCCGTCTGTTTATATAAAACACCGCTGTTGTATTGTCTGTCATGACTGATACACATCTCCCCTCCAAGTGAGTTTGGAAGGTCTGGCATGCCAGACGGACTGCCCTCAGCTCTCTGACGTTGATGTGAAGTGACAGCTCCACTTAGGACCAGAGGCCGAGTCCTGAGCTCCCCTAGATGTGCTCCTCAACCCATCGCTGACATGTCCATAACCAGTGACAGGGATGGCTGCGGTTTGGAGAAGGGAATATCTGCACACACCGCATGCGGGCTGAGCCACCACAGGAGAGACTTGAAAACTGGCCGGGAAAGAGTGACGCTTGTCTAGACTGTCCGGTTTTGGTCGATAAACCCAGGCTAGTCATGCCTGAAGAGGTCGGAATCTCAGTCTTGCATGCTGTACTATGTAAGTACAGGCAACCATGTGGCCAAGGAGCTTTAGGCAACTCCTGAGTTCTATGAGTCTTTGTATGATGTCTCAAAGGGTCTGAAAATGAGACCCTGATAGAAACGTTCTTGTCTGTTTTGAGTCCAATACTGCCCCTATGAAGTCTATCCTCTGACCGGGAGACAGAGTTGACTTCTGCATGTTCTATAGAAGGCCTAGGTTGTTGAAAGTTGCTCTTATCAGGCTCACATGTGCGTCCACTTGCGCTTTGGAGCAGCCTTTGATCAGCCAGTCGTCGAGGTATGGAAACACCTGCACCTGGTGCTTCCACAAGAAATCAGTCACAACTTCAATGCACTTGGTGAACACTTGAGGTGCCGCCGACAGGCCGAAGGGGAGGACTGTGAACTGATAGTGATTGTGGTTCACCATGAACCTGAGATACCTTCTGTGGGACGGTTAATGAAATATGAAAATAAGTGTCCTTCAAGTCGAGGGCGGCATACCAGTCCCCCAGATCCAGGGAAGGGATAATGGAGACCATGCGTAACTTCAGTTTCTTCATGAACTTGTTGAGCTCTTGCAGGTCTAGGATGGGCCTGAGGCCGCCTTTGGCTTTTGGGATTAGGAAATACCGGGAATAGAAGCCCTTGCCCTTCAGCTCCTGAGGAACCTCTTCCACAGCCCCCACACTTAGGAGTGTGTGCACCTCCTGCATTAGAAGCTGCTCGTTTGACCCTGAAGCTTTCCCTCCTCCACCAAGGTGGAAAACTTTGCCCTCAAGTCTTCTGGCAGAAGCCCTGTGAATTTAGACATAGCCCCACAGGAATTAAAGTTGTATCTACTAAGGACCGCCTGGTGGATTGAAATTCAAATACCAGCCCACTGGTAGAACAGATTTTCCTCCCAAAAAGGTCCATTTTTTTCGCATCATGGGCTTTAGGCGATTGGCCCTGGTGCACTCAGCGTTCCCATTCATTTGCTGCCGCCACCACTAGATAGTCTGGCGGTGGATGTGAATAAAAATGTTCAAATCCTTTAGAGGGAACAAAATACTTTCTGTCCTTTTTGCCGTTGATGGCAGGGAGGCGAGGGTCTGCCACAGCGTTTTGGTGGTGTGTTGTGATGTTTTTTTATGAGCGGTAGGGCAACTCGGGAGGGACCAGAGGGGGCTAGGATGTCAAGCATGAGGTCCAATGTCTCAGAGACCTGCTCAACCTGGATCTCTAGGAGCTGCTGGTGGACCCTATTGTCCTCGAGTGCAGGAGCCATGGAGGTTCCAGCCACTGCCTCAACGGTGAAGATGAAGATGAGGTTCTAACCGGGACTGCCCCTTGCTCCTGGCCCTCAGAGAATGCGTGGTGCACCAAGGACTGGGAACGGTGCCGCGCACTGCCATGTACAGAGCCCTGTCGGTGCTGAGGATCTCTATCCGAGTCCTTTCTTGGCACCAAAGTTTCCTGTGTCAACACCGGAGCACTGCATGCCAATGCTGAGGGGCTTGGCATTGGCTCAGCTGACCCCAGCTCCAAGTGGGGATGGAGGGCAGCCTCAGAAGTATCTTCAGACATTGATCCCGCTCTTTCTGAGTCCTGGGGCAAAATCCCCTACATATCTTGCAATGATCTTTTTGATGCGATTCCCCCAGACACTTCAAGCAGGAAGTGTGGGGGTCACTCCCGGGCATAGGCTTGCTACAAGCTGCACAGGGTTTAAACCTCGGTACCGGGGAGGGGGATGACGGGGATACCCCCAGAACAATTCCCTACTGGAATTCTAACGATATTACTGACTAACTACCTACCTACCTACTACCTATTGATTTACCTATTTACAGGAGAAAAGTCTGAAGACTACTAGGGAGAAAGGCTTGCCGAAGCGAGAGAGAATGAGCATTCCAGCTAACCGTCACAGGTGGTAGGAAGGAACTGAAGCGGCAGCGGATCGGTAGAGGCCTAATACGGCACCATGGAAGCACGACTCTAGGGGGCGCCTGAGCCAACCTGATGGCTACTGCTAGGAGAAAAACCTTCTGGCTACTGTGCATGCAGTGCGCATGCACCTAATTGGAATCAACATGAGCAAGCGCTCGAAGAATCAAAAGTCTGTGTGTTTCAGAGTAGCAGCCGTGTTAGTCTGTATCCGCAAAAAGAACAGGAGTACTTGTGGCACCTTAGAGACTAACAAATTTATTAGAGCATAAGCTTTCATGGACTACAGCCCACTTCTTCGGATGCATACAAGTCTGTGTGTGGAGATGCAGTTCTCAGTGTATAAAAAAGGATGAAATACACTAGAAAATAAAGACTCAACATTTTTCTTTCTGTGCGATGAGAAGCTGGAAAATACCAAGATCTGGTCCTTCTTCATGCCCATGGGAGGCAGAGGCTGTTCCCTGTCATACATAATCTATTGCTTTGTCCAGACTCATTTTAAATGATGCAAGTGATGGGGTTGGGGGATTGTTTGCCAAAACTATTTTGAGAAGTTCTTCACCAGTCTAATCATGCAAGGGTCTGTCTTCACTGCACGTTTATCTTGCATTATCTACACTTGAGTAACAACTCTTGAGTTAGCCTAGCTCAAGTGAGAGCAGCCAGGCTGCAAAATAACACCCCAGCTGCTGTGTCCAGACTCACTCATGTGTGGTGCAAAGACTTCTGGGGTCATATCCCTTGGTTATTTGCATTGAACTAAGTTAAGCTACTCCATGAGTTCTTTCCCAGTGAATTGTGGAAGAACTTGTCTGTCCTTTCTGGGCACCTGGGGGAACTGTGGGAAAACACTGGAGGACTAGCACCCAAGTGGAGCTAGGCTGGACCCACGCTACAGAGCGATTGTGTTAGCAGCTGACTTGAGCTTTAGTCTCTATCCCGACAGTCCAGCCAACTCGACTTAAAAGCACCACCACACCCGCGTTGAGGGTTTGAGTGTGGATGGGACTTAAGTTACAGCTTGAGTTAACTGTGCAGTGAAAACAAGCCCCCAGATGCTGAGCATCTCCTGAAAAGAGTTCTTGGAGTTGAGGGTGCTCAGCACTTCTTAGGATAAGGCCCTTATAAATTATAGTTTATGTGCTCTTCTCCAACTCTTCTGTATAGTACTTTCCTAGTTATCCATGACTTTTCAAATACATTTCAGAGGTTTCATAAGTTGATTAGTCAATTCCGTGAACCGCCTGAGATGCAGGCCATTCCAGCCACTGAGCTGCATATGTTCCCTTATCTGCCTTTATCAGAAGCTATGTCTGCGAGTTATTTATGGCTTCCTAATTATCAAGATCTCTATCTTATTATATACATTTGAAAAAAGAGTTGATCATCATCAGCTATTTTAGAATCATTAATTTAATCTCGTGCCTTATTTATTAAGAAACTACTTTCTCTATAGTGTTTCTTTTGCTCCTGTTATTAGTAAAAGCCCTTCTGGCTTTGGCTTGTTCTGGGCCTACTGGGGATTTAGCAATGTCCGAATTTGGCTGCATATATGATTACCCTTGTTGCCACCACCATCACCAACACACCAAAGATAAAGGCAGCCACTGGGGAGCATCAAAGCTGCCTCTCTCCTTCCTTCAATCTCTAACTCTCCTCCTCGTGGAGGCTCTGTGTGATCCCTGCAGCATGGCCATTGGCAGAGGCACTGTTTCACAGGTAAGTTCCCTCCTCTCCCTCCCACACTACCCTGGCAAACTCCCAGCCACCCTCTCACCTATCTCCCCAAGCAAAAGCCACTTTTCCCCTCTTACCTGCTGCTGCATCCCTCACATCCAGCACGTACCCCTCCCATTAACTTTGCAGTACCTCAATCTCTCCCTCAGCTAGTGCCACCTTCCACCACCTTCCCCCTGCATTTCCTCTTTCCTGCCTTTTTGCATTCCCCCTCCCACCTCCCTTCTCATTCTCCTCATGCTGATTCCCCCCAAAACCACCACCTTTAAGGGACACACTGTACTCTCTGTTGTGATAAATGGGTCTACAAACTTACTCTATGAACTCAATTGTAAAAAGTGAATCGAAGTTCATATAAAGCATAACAAGAACCTATAATAATAAATGTTGATGTGAAAAATTGCAAAAGGGAGACAAACTCTGAATTAGCCCAAACAAAAAGGCCTATTGATATAATTCAAGGACTGTGTTAGGACCATGCCTGGTAACCAAGAAAAACATGAGTCCGAAAATCAATGAGTCAAAATTGGTGTGTCAGAAACTAGGCCTAATTGGATGACAAAATAATGAGGGGATGGGCTATTTCATCCATCAATCCCTTTTTGGGTCCTTAAAGAAACTTTTGGGAGAAAAATTGACTACTGGAGGAAGCTTCACCATCATGGCATCCCCCCAACCCTGCCATCTTCTGGGACCCTGGACCTTCCTTGTCCTAATTCTGAGAGATATAGTGATCAGACCAGACCAGAAAGAGACACTGCCACCTCCACCAGCTCCAGTTAAATCCCAAACACAGCCTGGTATGTGAGACAGTCTCTCTTCCTCCCCTTTCTCCCCCGCCATGTGTCCTTTTACTCCCCCACCTTATTTCTTCTTTTTCCTAACCCTCCTTTTTCCTTCTGTCTAATAAGAGTCTGGTAACGCTGGCCGCACATATTTTGCAACACTGCTGTAAGTCTGTGAACTGAAAGAGGCAACTACACACAACGTCCTGAATGGTCTGACGCTGGCAGAAATATGCCAGATTTTAGAGTGGCTGATAAGACTGTGCTGTGCCTGTGTTTCTCCAGCAGTGAGGATGCAAGGGAGAGTCAACATCAGAGAGAGAAGCTGTATTTTCTCTCTGCTGTTCTTTTCTCTCCCCCACTTTGTGTGTGTGTCTTGTTTTGTCTACTAGGAAATGGGACTGGACTTCAACAACAGCTTCAGCCCATCTCAACTAACTTCTTCTCTTTTCCCCCAAAAGGTCAGTTATCATCATCTAAGAGACTAACAGGAGTTTTTTCCTTCTAAAGACTCTCTGCAGCTAAAGGGAACAAGGGATGTTGTTAAAATCAAAGCCTTATTTAATACTTCACATTTCAAATGCTTTAACTGTTTTTCATTCTTTTCTGTATCTTTAATGAAAGGTTAAAATGATTGTTATTAGACTGCTTGCCATAGTACTAAGTGGGCTGAGGGCTCTGTATACCAAACCTCAAACCTGGTTTAATACTGGACAGTGACTAGGTCATGTTAACACCTTGTTAACAGCCCATATAGTCCATCTAAATTAGCAGAACAATGCCTCACTGCTTCCCCTTGGTAACCCGAGCATACCCCATCACCTGCTACCTCTTTCCTCACCTCCCACTGGAAACAGACAATTTGAAGTTTCCACAAATGTCTTCTCAGAAGACAAGAATCCCCCTGGTCTGAGGAATGGACAGGTGGGGTGACCTGGCCCACTACTTCCACAGAAGCATCATTGGTAGAGCACTTGGTGCCCCGTGGCATTAGTGGGCAGGTCACCCAACAGACCAGCAGATTGTGAGAGAGACCCCCTATGTTTTCACTCTTCCGTCAGTCCTACTGATACCTTCTTCCCTCTTTCCTGGCCCTATCTGGTGGGAAGTGCTGACTCCCCCCATTTCTTACATTCTTGCTGCTCTACCGCACACAGTCCTGATCTTTGCCAAATGTATATAATTCAGTATCCCGGAGTTTAAAACTATTCTGAACTCACTTCAAATACCCACCATAATACTCAGAGCCATACTAAGCTTAAGCTTCCTGCAGTGAAGAAAAATGGACAGTCTGGTCGTTAGCACAGATGTTACTTTCATAGGACTTAATTTGATAGATATCATGGTAAAATATTCAAGGCAAGTTATTTATAATCCCAAAAAGGGAAGACCTGTTAGTAATACATCCGTGATGAATGTCAACAGCTTAAACCTTTCTCCATACTTTTACCTAGTTAAGAGAATACACAAAATGGTGAAGGATACCTGCTCCTTGACCTCGATATTGTGCTCCCCTTCCAAAATAAGAGTCACTGCTTGCATGATTTGCTTTCCATGGGTGCTCATTATCTGGTCTATATGCTGCCAAAGCAATTATAGAAACACAATTAGTATACATTTTCTAGAGAAAAGGACAAAAACATTTATTGTGAAAGTGAGTGGAATTATCATCAGCATTTCTAGGTGCCAGTACCTTTATGCAAGGTATCACAACTGTGAGAACCCATTGCAGCAGAAAACAGGAGTTATTTTTCTTTTCATTACTTTAGCCAACCCTTGTCACAGGGAACAGAATAAGGAACTATATGTTTGATCCTACTTCCACTGCAGCCTGTTGTACATTTAAATACTGACTCCCCCAGAGCAACACAGTTGTCACTGAGGGCATAATCTGAAGACTGAAGGATCTTTGAGTCATAAATTGACAACCTGATGAATATGAGAACTCAGTGTGATGCTGTGGCTAAATGAGTCAACACAATCTTTCCATGTTTAAAAGGGGGAACACCAGGTAGGTGTAGTGATATCACTTTGCTATTAGCCAGGATGGGCAGGGATGGTGTGTCTAGCTTCTGTTTGCCAGAAGTTGGGAATGGGCTACAGGGGATGGATCACTTGATGATTATCTATTCTGTTCATTCCCTCTGGGGCACCTGACATTGGCCACTGTTGGAAGACAGGATACTGGGCTAGATGAACCTTTGGTCTGGCCCACTATGGCCGTTCTTATGTTCTGTATACAGTACTGGTGACATCAGTACTGGAATACTGTGTCAAGTTCTGGGGTCTGCACTTCAAAACTGAAATTCTGAGAGGGTTCAGAGAAAAGCCACAAAAAAAGATTTGTGGCCTGAAAATCTCTCACAGCGAGAGATTTAAGCAGCTCAATTTATTTTGCTCACTGAAGCGAAGTTTTACAGGTGACTTTATCATGGTCTATAACCACCCATGCTTGGAGGAGATGAGATACACAGGAGGACTCATCTAGCGGAAAAAGGCATAACAACATTCAGTGGCTGGAAATTGAAGTCAGCAAAGTTCAAACTCGCTGTAAAATGCAAATTTTTAAGTGAGGGTAATTAAGCACTGGAACAGATTACCAAAGATATGGTAAATTCTCCATCACTTGGAATCAAAGTCAAGTTTAGATTTTTTTTTAAACAAAAACAACCCCCCCACCCAAAAATACTGCAGTTCAGTGACAAGTTATTGGGTTCGAGAGTAAAATTCTGTGGAATATGGTATGGCAGAAGTTCAGAGTAAAGAATGATAATGGTCCTTTCTTATCTTAAAAAAAAAAAAATCTATGAAAGAATATAGAGTTACTCAGAAATAGCTGGGGCCATAATTTGGGCTGCAAAACCACTTTAACTGATGGTTCAGGCACCAGTTTGACTGTAAACTCAGGGTGTACATTTACAGGGCAATTAGAAAACAAATATTTTTACTTGTAGATTAAGCTAATTTGATATGAAAATTGAAAATCAATGATTATGGAACCCAAATGTGCACTTTTTACAGTGTCATTTTTCATGACAGAAGCACACTTTACAGGTGGCTATGTTCCTATATAGAAGTCCACCTTGCCAAATATTTATTGCACTTTTTCTCTATTCTTCACTAGACGGGCCTCTTGCTCGTCCTCCATTCGTATCTCAAGCACTTTACTTCTTGCCATAAAACAGTTCACGTGCTTAAATCTTGTATCTTATTCTATTCTGTAAAAAGGATATATGAACTGTGTGAATGCACAATCCAGTAGATCAAAATCAAAGACTGAAGAATGTTTTAAAATGACAGATAAGATACAAATGAAATAGCTCAGACACTTGGGGCTTGTCTATACGGCACTGGCTGTGTGCACCATAGAGCACTCTATTGTGCTGTGCTCTAACTGCCCTGTGTAGGCCATACTGGCGCAAGGTATCCAGTTCACCTTGGTACCAATGTATCTTTTAGTTTGTGCCAGCAGGGTCTACATGGGGCAGTCAGAGCGCAGCATGTTGGAGTGCTCTCCAAATCACACGCCTCTAATGCGCACTACTGGCACTGTGTAGACAAGCCATAAGTAAGGAGAAATATAGGTATCCTTAAGATATCTGCATCCCCATAAGCACTGTAAGTTCATTTCAAAACACAAACCACTCCTCCTGTTAACTAGATTTTTAACAGAGTTTACAAAAATGTGTCTGTCTGTCAAAAGCCTTTCTAAACACGAACAGAATCAAACACCCAACAAAAAAAGTATTGGTATGTATCTGCGGACATAACTAGTGATAAAGCTCCAGCTAGATATGCAGAATTCTCTCTTTATTAAAGATTTTCACTTCATTGTGGTCTTTTATGACCATTAGTGTTTTTGGGTTCAGATACTTTAATAATGCACAATGGAGGCCTCACAGTTTCAACAATAATATTCAAAAATGAACGTAAAGAGAAAGGTGATTTGCTTTTCAGGCCTACTAGATCACTGGAAAGAGTATTATGCATTATGGATTTACAATGTATCATCTATGAATGCTGGGTTAGTGTTAGGAAGACAACTTTTCTGGAGGATCTGTTTGTGGTTTTACTTACTGGACGAGTAGACAGAAGATTTCTGAGCAGTCCCAAAGTTTTCATTAGCACGTTTACATCTGAATCAGAGAGTAACTGGAATAATTGTTCTGTACTCAAACCTTGTAAGATGTCTGCTTTGATCTTTTGTTCTGCTTGAAATGCCATGTTCTGAAGGACAGATACATACAGAAAAACTGAGCCATACACCTCATATTAGCATTTCTCCTTCACTTAATTTTGTCTCAGAGCGTGCTTACCATTCTGTCTACAGAAGAATTACTACCATCTGCTGTGCATACATTCTTGATAAAGTAACCCTGCAAGCAATGCAAGGAAATGTTACTCACCTTGTAATACCTGGAGTTCTTTGAAATGCATTGTCCCTACGTGTAGTGCACTTCAGGTGATTCACAGGCAGCGTCTTTTCAAGGAAGCGGGTGCCCAGAGTCCAATGCCACAACAGACTGCAGTACCGCCCTGTCCAGGGAAACATCCGAGGCAGCCACCTGCACCAGGACAGAATGTCTCGCAAAGGTGTGTACAGAGCCCCAAGTCATTGCTCAGCAGATGTCAATGAGAGGGACATCCTTGAGGCAGGCTACTGAGGCTGCTTGGGCTGTCACAGAATGTGCTCTCACACTGCCCATAAGAGGGACATCGTTCATCTCATAACAGAAAATGATGCATCCCTGGATCCCTTTTGACAGCCTCTGTGTGGAAATGGCCTCTCCTTTCATCCATTCCATAAATGATACAAAGTCTAGGAGATTTCCAAAATTTCATTCTCTGTAGGCAGACTGCAAGGTCCCTATGCATATCCAAGGAGAGACACATCACCTATTTCCGCCTGGTGTGTGGTTTAGGGTAGAACACAGGTAGATGGATAAGTTGGCTGATGTGAAAGTCTGATACCATCTTAGGGGAGAACTTCTGATGGAGTCTCATGGGTGCCTTATCCTTGTGGAAAACTGTACCGGGATGGGGAGATCTGCCATGAGTGCCCCAGCTCCCAACCTCTTCTGGCTGACGTGATTGAGACGATAAATTCTACCTTCATGGAAAGAGGAAGTAGAGAGCAAGATCCCAAAGGCTCAAACAGCACCTTAGTCAGAGTTGATAAACCAGGTTCAAGTCCTAGGCTGGTACCAGCTTTGCCACTGGAAGGAAGACTCTAACCAAGCCTTTCAGGAACAGAAACGGGACTGGGTGAGAAAACACAAAGTAGGTGTGTACAGGTGGGTGAAATGCACTAATGGCCACCAGTGTCCCATGTATTTTAAGGATAATTGGCTAGCCTAGTACATCTGGGATTCCTGACCGTGAAGGGGAAATTCCTTATCGATTACACCAGAATATAAATCTTTTCCACTTTGCTGTGTAGCATTTCCCAGTAGAGTCCTTCCTATTACTGCTCAATACGACCTGGACATCTGCCAACCAGGTTTTCCTAGGTCTGATATCCATCCCTACAAAATGCCTTCAAGTGCTGATTGCATTAGAGTGGTAAGTCCTCCCCTTGTCTTGAGTCAAAAGATTTTGCCTCAGCAGGAGGTGGGGAGAAGGCTGGCTTGACAGTTGCAATAACAATGGGGTACTAGAACTGATGGGTCCAGCTCAGCATGACGACAGTGACCACACCTTGCCCTGTCTGATTTTCCTCAATACCCTGGTTAACAAAAAATGCACACCTCAGGGCCCCTAAACGTCCTGGAAAGTGCTGCCCAGAGAGCCCAAGTTGCACCATCTCTGAAGCAGAACTTGCACTTTTTGTTCATATTTGACACAAACAGATCTGTGGCTGGGAGACCCCACATCCAAAACACCTCCCAGAGAGATGGGTCATGCAGCTCTAACTCATGCTCTGTGGAGAAGTGTCTGCTCAGAATCTGGCACGGTACTTCGGACTCGTGGCAAATGAACAGCCGTCAGGGTAATGTGCAATTCCAAAGGGCGATGGCCTCCACACAGTGCTGTGAGGAGCTTGCTCCTCCCTACTTGTTGATGTAATAGACTGTTTCCATGTTGTCTGATAACATCTGGACTGAATGGCTGCAAATGCAAGGTAGGAATTGTTCGCAGGCCAGCCTGACAGCTCTCAACTCCAACACGCTGATGTGCAGCACAGACTCCTGAGAAGACCACTTCTCTTGCACTACCTGCCCTTCCAAGTGGGCTCCTCAAACTATATGTCCACAGTCACAGTCATTCTTGGGAGCAGGGAACTGAACAGACGGCCACACACACTCCTTTCCTCTGTCTTCCCACCTGCCCAGGAATGTTAAGATCCTTTGTGGAACTGTGTCCAGCAAATGGAGACTGTTTGCCCAGGATGTATGCAGTCCATAGCCATGCTTGCAGGCATCTGAGATGAAGCCTTGCAAATGGGATCACTTAAGTGCTTGAAGCCATGTGACTCAACAGATCATCCAAATCTGCTGTATGAGTCCATCGATGGCGAGGAAACAGTCATCTGGTATGCATGCTCTGGCCAACCATGTCCAGCCTTTCTCTGATGAATTCCTCATTTGTGTCAGTTCCAAAGTGGACTTCTCTGGGTTCACTCTCAGACCCAGCCTTTCAAACAAGTCCAGAAACATGTTGGTTGCTTCTTGCATTTCCTGGTAAGATCAACCCTTTAGGAGTCAATCGTTCAAGCAGGTGTACACTGCCACCCCCAATGATGAAAGGGAGCTGGCACCATGACAGGGTGAAAACCCTCGGCACTGCATCGGTAGTGTTGCTGATTAGCTATGGACCTCAGGAATCTCCTGTGTGTTGGGTGGATGTTCACTTGAAAAATACACATCTTTGAGCTCAAGGGCCACGAACAAATTTCCTAAATCTAGTGAGGGATAACTAAAGACAAAAATCACCTGTATGACCCTCAGTCACTGGGCAAACTTGTCAGTTCCCTGAGGTCCACGATGGGTCTCCATGTCCCTGACTTTTGTGGGATGATTCAGTACCTCAAGTAGAACCTCTTTCCCTTTGCTGCTGGAGGCACTGATTCTATCCCCCACTCCTGAGAGGGATCCCAGAATTAAGGTGGCCAAGCAGAGGTGGGGTTTCGGAGGGAAGAAAACTGGATGGTGCATCCTGAAGAGACAACCTCTATTACCAATCAGTCTATTGTGATCTTTCTCCAGGCAAATAGGTATTGGATAGTTGCCTTCCAAAGGGGAGAGGGGGGAAAACCAAGGGAATTATTTAGATGGACGGGTTGTAGGTGCACACTCTCAAAGATTCTGATGAAATGCCAGTTTCAGAGTTCATGTTGATTGGGAGGCAAAGGACAAGTGTCTTTGGGCACCCTTTCTATGCGTTCTCTGATGCTTACAGGGCAGCTGAGAAATGCTGCTGATGGTTGAAACTGTGGCTTACTGGATTTCTGCTTAATCATGGTGTCCTTCATTCTTCTTCCAACTCCAACCCCTAATCCAACACGAGAGCTCTTGGTACCAGAGGATTCAGTGATGACCTGTATCTAGTCATCAACGGTGGCAGTGATAGTCTAGCTCAGTGGTTTTCCACCTGTGGTCTGTGGACCCCTGGGGGTCTGCAGACTATGTCTAAAGGGTCCACAAAAGGTTGCTAGCACCATAGAACTGTGGTTTTCAACCTGGGTTCTGCAGACTATGTCTAAGATTTCCAAAGGGGTCTGCACCTCCATTTGAAATTTTTTAGGAGTGTGCAAATGAAAAAAAGTCTGAAAACCACTGCTCTTGCTCAAACCAGGCTTGGAGATTGATAGACTCCAAAACCAGAAGGGACCATTGTGATCATCTAGTCTGACCTCCGGTATAACACACATCACAGAACTTCCCCAAAATAATTCATAGAGCATGTCTTTTAGAAAACATCCAATCTTGATTTAAAACATTGCCAGTGATGGCACTCGGTAACTTTTTCCAATGGTTAATTACTTTCACTGTTAAAAAATTATGCTTTACTTCCAGTCTGAATTTGTCTAGCTTCAGCTTCCAGCCATTGGATTGTGTTATATCGTTTTCTGCTAGATTTAAAAGCTCATTTTCAAATATTTATTCCCTATGTAGGTACTTAGAGACTGATTAAGTCACCCCTTAATCTTCTCTTTGTTAAGCTAAATAGATTGAGTTCCTTGAGTCTACCACTATAAGGCATGTTTTCTAATTCTTTAATCATTCTCATGGCTTTTCTCTCAACCCTCCCTGATTTATCAACATTTTTTTCAAATTGTGAACACCAGAACTGGACACAATTTTCTACCAGCAGTTGCACCAGTGCCAAATATAGGTGGTAAAATAACCTCTCTATTCCTACTCAAGATTCTCCTGTTTACACATCCAAGGATTACATTAGCCCATTTGGCCCCAGAGTTGCACTGGGAGCTCATGTTCAGCTGATTATTCATCAAATCTTGTTCAGAATCAGATGGCGATGGTGAGGGGGACCACAGCGATATTGGTACTGGCTAATATCGTGGAAGTGGGTGTAGGAGTCCAGAGTATCAATGACTCCGGTTCCATAAATATGATTAGACCACCTGATGCCAAGAAGCAGGCTGGAGTAGTTTCTGTAACTTGGACCACTGACGCTGAAAGCGCTGGATCTGACAGTGCCAATGCAGCACAGGTGCTGGCACTGAAGTACCCCTTTTGGTATGGGAGAGTGGTGCTGTCTTGCCCTTTGATGAAGTCCTGGGCTGGTCCTTCTCAGAAGCAGACACCCGGGTCCAGAGCACAAGGTGTCTCCTGACTTGGTACAGGACGGGGGACTTCTGTCTCCTTTTAGAGGGCTTGGATGTGGAACTTTCCCTCTTATCTTTATGGGAGTGTTTGTATCTCCCTTCTGCCCTGTCTTGAAACTGATGAGGGAAGGGGGGCAGGGGCCCTGGAACTGGCCTGAGCCGAACTCAAGAGGCTGCTTCTACCTTCTTCAGACTGATGTAGAGAGTCTCCCTGGTCAGAGGCTGTCCCCAGTCTCATGGACCTCTCCATGAGGACTGCTTGGAATCGGAAGTCCCCTGACTGCTTTGTCTTACTTGGGAACAACCAGCAGATACTGCACGTGGGCAGGACATGTTTCCCACAGGCAATACAGACAGGTACCGTGATAGTTACCAGGAAGGGCTTATGGGGATTTTTGTCATACTCCTCCTCCCACTACTGGAAGACCGGGGGAAAGGGAGAGAGGTAGTGGTGTACACGAACCACTCCTCACCCCAGGGGTATGGGGAGTTGTCCCAAAACTTAAGGATAGATCCCCAAATATTTATCCTAATGACAATTTATTTACAGACAGAAGCTGAAGAAATCGGCACGTACATTGAAGCTCCATGCCAGACCATGAGAGGTAAGAAGGAACTAAGATGCAGAGCATGAGGACAGTGGGGGCGCATGTGTGGACCAAACAGACACTCAGGAAAAATTCTCCAGTTCTGGGCCCATGGAAAGCATGTGCAATCGCTGAAGTACACCACACATAGGAACAAGCACTCGAAGAACTACAGCTTATGAAGGACATTTTTGGATCTCCACATCCCTGACAAAGTCCCAAAGGCTCACCCATTTTCCCTTGTTTTAAATCTTCCTTCTTACCTGTACCCAACTATAGCCTTACCTTTGAACTAATCAGTTATGCTGTTCAATTAGCTCATGACTGACATGCACAAGTGAAATTGATATAAGGTTTGCATTTTATTCTTGCTTTGATCTCTTGATTTTACACTCTTTGCATAATTCCATGGATTTTACACTTAATTTATTATTTGCTGGAAATTACTGCACTGTGAAGCTTACATGAATAGTTTGTTATGGATATAACTATACTGTCAAGAATACATATATAAAGACATATCAGTAAGATCATTTTTTGTTTACTGGCTTATAAAAAGTGGAAAGCTGACTGCAAAGAGTTACAAAAGGATTTCACTAAACTGGTTGACTGGCAACAAAATGGCACATGAAATACTATGTTGATAAGTGCAAGTAATGCACATTGGAACAAATAATCCCAACTGTACATACAAAATGATGGGATCTAAATTAGCTGTTACCACACAAGAAAGAAATCTTGAAGTCATCATGAATAGTTCACCCAACTGTCAGACACTAGAACTGGATGATAGGGGATGGATCACTACAAATTGCCCTGTTCTGTCCATTCCCTCTGAAGCACCTGGCACTGGCTACTGTCAGAAGACAGGACACTGGTCTAGATGGACCATTGATCTGACCCAGTATGGCCGTTCTTATGTTCTTAATATACTTTTAGGGACAGATCACTATTTTCTTGTATAGTCACACACACACGCAGGCTGAACATCTGCAACATTATTTTTAGTAACTGGTATGATCTTCATGGTCAAAAGTAAAGCTCTGAATCTCCCTTCCTTGATGTATGTTTTGGTGGTTGGCTGGTTGTGTGTGGTGTTTGTATAAACAATGTTTCATTGGAGTGAGTACTTACCATTAAAGCCCAAATGCCATTCACTCGCAAAGCAAGATTTTCACTCTGGGTTAAACTACATAGAAGTTCTATGGCTCCTGATTCTAAAATAGGCTGTAACAAACAGGAAAAAACACACAGCTTTAGAACACCGTGAATTTACTGGACTTACATGTACATCAATGAACTATCAAATGTGGTACTGCACACTGTGTTTATCTCGAGGTGGATTTTGGTTATTTATTGAGGAACTGTAGACATAACTATAATGAAATGTGTATGCACACACATCCTTTTCAGACAACCTTCTGCCTCAACAGACTGCTAGCAGTGAAGCACCTTTAATAAAAGACCACCTTCATTAAGCAACTGATTTTTGATCCCTTGAGCAGACACAGAAGACAGGTTTCACTGTCTTTAATTGCATTTAAACAGGCTGTATTTGCTTTTCACATTCACTAATGAAGATACATTGAGATGTAGTGAGTTCAACACGTATACAAACAATAGAACAACAACAAAGTGTAATAAGGCTAACTCTTAAGACTTCTGGTGACAACCTGAGAAAAACTCAAACCACTTGCGATATGAGGTTACAGGACAAATACCAACAGATGGATTTTGAAAGCCCCAGATTATTAAATGAAACAAACTACAGTCATGGGATGATAAAAGCTTGAGACTGTGAATCCACAACAATCAGGAAACTCAGGGTTAAGGTTGTCATGGGAACAACAGGCCAAATTCTTCCCTCAGTTATGTAAATCTATAACAACATCACCAAAATCAATGGAATTACTCCAGGAGATAGTCACCCTGTGCACAAGGTCTGCAAAAGCACTCTGCAGCATTTGTTTCACATAAGGCCTCAAAATAGGTGAGGGCCCCTTAAACAGAGGTGAATTTCACTGAATTTACATGAGTATACATGTAAGCAGAATTTGCCCCTTAATTCTGTTTGCTTGCACATGTGCTTTATACTAGGGACTTTCATTACAGGTTGGCAGAACACCGCTGTGGCATGGTTTGGCAAATGCTAATTTACAAATATGGATTAACCATTACAAGTTTAAAGATGAAACATCTGGGGTGACATGGTTTATTCTGAAATCATGTGGAATAAACAGTAATAAAATGTCATCTATTCTTGCAAAAACTTAACTGTAAATTTTATCATCTGATTGAGATTAAATGTGTACCATTAGCTTTTTTCTAATAAACACTGTCTCTGCAGTGGTATTAATACTTCTCTCAATATTGAAAAAGTACTATTATAATAGAGTGTGAAAAGTATGCTGATACTCCTTGGCAACTGAAATAAGGATTTGAATTAAGATGCTAAATACTAGAGTTGCTAATCTGTTAAGTTTGGCAAAATGCTGATGGAAGTCAGGCAAGAGCTGGAGCTGGGACTCCCAGGGTCCCTGCTGTGGAGCTGGGGATCCTGGCAGTTGGTTCCTGATCTGGCCGCCTCCCTGGGCTGCCCTCCACCCTGGACAAAGGGTGGGCAGGCTGCCAGCTGGGAAGATATTCCATAGAAAATTCCAGGATTTCTTTGTTCTGGGACAGAACAAAAACCTCACAATCTCTGAATTTTTCATGCACCAAAAAATCCTGCTCCAGCTCAGCTCAACTAAATACACTAACAAAATTATTTTTGCTACTGTAGTTGGTATTTAATGTACAATTCTTAAAGTGCTGCAAATAAAAAAGAAAATATAGAGGATGTTAAATAAAATAAAACATTTCATAGCTATCTGAAGGAATTTCAAAGCAGCCTCTCCTTTTATTTTGGCAAATCATGTCTAAGTAAAGACACATTTGCATAAACTTGCACATTTTTTCATCGAGAGTCAGTCTCCATCAAAGGGCTTGTCTTCACCAGGAGATCTGATCACATTTAGATGTTATTAGGATTGGAGTTAGCTGACACAACAGTACCCTTGGCTGACTGGTCACTGTAGACAAGGCTATAAGCACAGCCTGTTGACATGATGCTGAGCACTATTTGTCATTGTCTATACCAGGGGTTGGCAACCTACGGCACGCGAGCCAATTTTGAGTGGCACGCAGCTCCCTGCCGCGGTCCCGGCCCCCAGCCCCACTCAGCCCCCCCGCCCACTGCTCTCCCCTGCAGGGGCAGGAGGCAGAAGCTTGGTTCTGCAGCAGCCAAGCTTCCCCCCCTCCCCCTGCTTCTTCCCCTAGCGTGGTGCTTTCCTGCCCCGCCTCCTCTCTGTCCCTGGCCAATCAGCTGATGGCCCTAGCGAGGGGGAGGGGGAAGAGCGGCAGCCTGCACACAGCTCCGTAGAGGATGCAGAGAGAGGTAGGGACAGAGCCTGGGGGAAGGGGGTGGAACAGGGCATATCCCTTCCAGCCCCCTGCCATGAGAGCTCAGAGCAGGGGGCTGGGAGCACCCCCACGAGCTGAGCACCCCAGCCTTCTGCCCTGCACCCCCACCCCTCTGCCCTGAACCTCCCCAACCCCAACACATACCCAGCCTTCTGCTCTGCACCCCCACAGCCCCATTCCTCTGCCCTGAACTCCCCCAGTCTTCTGCCCTGCACCCCCCATTCCCCCATCCCTCTGCCCTGAACCCCCCACACCCCAACACACACCCAGCCTTCTGCCCTACACCCCCTCCCCCAACCCTCTGCCCTGACCCCTGAAACACCCACCCCCAGGTCTGGAGTCCCGGCCGCAGGCCCTACTCAGCCCACTGCCAGCCTAGGTGAACAGAACCCCAGGCTGGCAGTGAGCTGAGCAGGCTGGTGGCGTAAGATCAGCATTTTAATTTAATTTTAAATGACGGTTCTTAAACATTTTGAAAACCTTGTTTACTTTACATACAATAGTTTAGTTATGTAATATAGACTTACAGAAAGAGAGCTTCTAAAAACGTTAAAATGTATTACCGGCACGCAAAACCTTAAATTAGAGTGAATAAATGAAGACTCGGCACACCACTTCTGAAAGGTTGCCTACCCCTGGTCTATACTGACCAGTCAGTTATGCTCAGCTTTTTTTAAAAGCTAATTCTGCTCCTCATGATGAAGTCTAAACATGATGAGATCTCTTGGGGAAGAGAAGTCCATATAAATGGACCCATTAGCAACCAGAGTGCAACAGTCTCTGTCTGATCCCCTAGCCATGATAGAGACAAGAAATGTGCAATGAGGTCACAAAAACGACTAAGCTCTGATAAAGTTATGGCATATCACTACTCAGCATACTGATGAGCATTTTTTCAATTGCTTATAACATCTTTATTTTTAACCATTTTCCAGCCTAATCAAACAAAGGCACTAGCTCTCAATAAGGACTATCTCTGGCCACGCCAAGTTTCAAGTTGCTAATCTGTCGCTTTTTTTGTAGCCATGTTTAAAAATGTGTGGATAAAATTACTTTATAACGTGAGAAGTGTTTTTTCCACTTTCTCATCACAGAACAGATGAAGGGATTTTCCTCAAACTTAAAAAAAGTCACCTATGGGCTTAGATCAAATACTGAAAATTATAGCCCAAAAGATGAATGTTTTGCCCATTATAATACAGAAATGCATACATCAGAGTAAAATGAATACATTATAAAATGAAATGCCTAAAGAATATCCTAACCATACTCTACACTTCTTGGGCGGCAATATGTATATTGTACGCTGTGTTTAACATATACGGATATGCATGAAGCACACACACTGCATGGTGAAATGCACAATGTACTTCATATAAGCCAATGCACTATACATTATACAATGCAATTAAGTAAAAAGAACTTTCTTGAGCATTCACTTTTGTTCAGCCAGATGAAATCACATTCCTGCAGTTATGGCCCATTTCTGCTCATAGTGATGCCAACAGGTGTTTTGCCATTGTGTTGAATGAAGGCACGACTGGGTTTCAAGTCTGTGAACTCAAATTGCTGAAGGTAAAACACATGGCTTACCTCTCAGCTGTCAAACTTATCTTCCGGAGAAGACTGAAGTCCATTTTTAATTATGGCCCATGGGATTATGTACTCCCCTCACGCCACAGATGTGGAAGAGAGATTTGCACAGAGATCATGGAGAGCCTCTGGCCTTTATGTAGTAACAGATTTTAGTTATGATTATAACTTACTATTTATTCAGCCCCTCATTGTCATACCCAGCATCACTTAGTGGGGATATCTGCTCTTCTTTGGGACAACATTATGCCTGCCCTTTGTTTCTATTTCTTCCCCAACCTTCTCTTTTTCTCTACTTTCTCCCTTTTTTTGTATGTCTTCTACGTTCTTCCCTCTGCATTTCCTTCCTTGCAGGTACTCCCACTTCCCCACTCTTCACCCCCATCTGCATTTTATCTGCTAAAATTATCAGCAATTAACTAGATAATGGGGTTTTTTTGTTTTTTTTTTTAAAGAGATTCTAGAGCTTGTGAAAGTTGTTGGCTTGACAGCCCTGAAGATTGAAATTATCTGATTTATCTCTCGAACAGATACAGCACAGGCAACAAGGCAGATTTATAAATGAAAAGGAAGAGTCTATCAGTAAAGTTAGATCTCATACAGCATACCCATGTCTAACTACATTAGATGGGACCACCTATTCTGTCATATCACTGCATAATTAACAGGCTGTCAATTAAAAAAACCCTATCAATGATAAAATTCCATCATCCCAACATTACAACTACTGTATAATCACCTGATAATGATTAAAAAACTTCTTTGCTTAGTCAAAAGTCATTGCTGTAACACACAGTTCTATTAAACAAGCAATAAGAAGAAGAACAGGAGTAAGAAGAAATCATAGGTGAATACCAACCTCTTTGCTTGGGGAGAATTCAAGGAGAAGGTTGCATAGTGTGGAAGATGCTACCACCAGGACTTCATCTGGAGCATTCTGTAAAACCTAAGGGCCCAAGGAGGAGAGTGGGGAGCTACATTAATCGTTATGAACAAGACTAAGATCACTTTTAAACAAAGCTACCGTTTTGCTTAGCAAGAGCCACCAGATGAGCCACAGTGCCCTTGTACTGCAATGAAGGGTTATGCTGAGATTTGGGAATTCACCTCCACAGTCATCCTGTTGAAGCCGAGCAGTTTTTGAACAAAAAGATCTTCAGGCATTGTGATCTGCATGGCACTGATGTCTATTTGAAGGTGGGGTGGAGCAGCTGATAGTCTTCCCCACCACTTGTGTGTCCTGCTCTTACATGGGCCATAATAGCTGTTCCTTTGTGGAGCAAATAATTTTGAAAGAGTCACATTCTTCCTTTTCAGTGGACTGCAGAGCTGGCACAACAAGGGGGAGCAATCTACACTATCCTACACTATGAATGGTGCACAAAATGCATCTCTTCAATGCACTGAGCAGGCCAGGAGGGAATGAGTCATTGGAGATGCATGTTCTCCCTTGGGGTAATGGCAACTCTGAACAGCCTACTACAGGGGACTTTGTGCAAACTGCAACTATTTACCACTGTATGATTACTGTGATTACAGAGTGCTACAGAATCAGCTTGCTTGAACAATCCTTAAGTGAGTTTCCTTAAATCATTGTGCTTTTACATTTAATTGTTTTAAAAGTAAAAAAACCCAAAACCACTTTTTCCTTCTTGGACGTAGGAAAAGAAGTTACTTACCCATACAGTAATTTGAGTTCTTCAAGATGTTTTGTCCCTATGGGTGCTCCACCATAGGATGAGGACGCACTTGTGCATTCTTGACCGGAGACTGTGAAAGCAGTGTCTGCAGGTCCACACCTCCACAGAGCAGCACCTCGTGCTTCGATACGAGGGCATAAACTTGCTGCCACTCATTTCCTTCTCACTCGGGAAGCCAGAGACTACAAAGCCAAAGACTCCACAGCAGAGGGAAAGAAGGGTAGGGGATAGAGCACCCATAGGGACAAAACATCTAAAAAACCTCAAGTTACCGTCACCTTGTCGGATAAGTCCATCAGCCCTCACAGAAAGAACACCGATCACAACATATCCTTCTTATTGTTCTAGCCATTCCTTCGGCCACCCGCTAGCCAGGCTGTCAGTGGCACCAGACACCCGACTGGCATAGCACATTGCAGCCCAGGACACCTGAGCAAAAGTGATCCGCCAGCGTCAGCCTCCCAAGTAGCTGGAATTACAGTCTCCAGTCAAGAGTGCACACACACGCACATCCTACAGTGGAGCTTCTATAAGGATATATACTCAAAGGAGAATGAGTGGTTTTAATTAGGATTTACAAAGTCAGAGTTTAAGGCCAGAAGGAATCACCAGGTTATCTATTCTGACCTCTTGTATATCACAGGCCACTAAACACCCCCTATCCATGCCCACACCAAGCCAACCACCAAAATTAGACCAAAATATTATAAGCTCCCAGGAAACTAAACTATTGTGTGCCACAGGCAGAGAAGAGGAGGGATCAAGATGCACCAATCTCTCTGTTCGTGATCTGTTACTGCTTACAGATATTGGCAGAACAGGATACTTTATTTAAGAAGAAGATGGGGACAGTACAGTCCAATGCCCACCCTTCTGCTGTGGCAGGGAATAGACACCACTTGCCACTGAAAGATCCCTGTTCAATGCATCAGAGAATGGAAAACAAACAAAAAAAAACCTTTTTTTATCCTTTTTACCTTGTGAATAATAATTCCTTCCTAAGCCCTAACTGTGTGTGTGGTGTAGCCCTATGCATGAGCAAAAATTAGTATGAGCCTCAAATTCCATTTCCACACAAGATACTGCCGACGTCTGTTGTCTATCTTTTGTTCTTGAATCCCAGTAAATTAGATTCTGCCAAGAAATTTCTAACCGTTTGCCTCCAAGAAAAAAATTATTCCATTTTCTTAACCTGACCTTTATTATTATTATTGTTGTTACAGTAGTTTGTTTTCTCTCCTGTTGCTGCTGTCACCAATGAACTTGTGATCCCTTTTTATACACAACTTTAAATTAAGTTCCCTTTGTAGACCCCTATTCTCCCCTCTATACAGCCGTAATACCTTCAGCTGATCATCTTAAGGAAGGCTTGTCCATGTCTTTGTTCATTTTTGTAACTATTTTGAGATTAAACTTCGTTTTCTCTTCATTACAACAGTTATATACCGGGGGACATTTCCACACTCTGCATTGTAGAAAGGAGATGTAGGATAAAAAAAAAAATCTAGTAAGTTTTCCCCATTAGCAGCCAACAAAATGTTAAAAAAGCGCCTGATTCTCCATTGCCTGGCACCTTGGATAGTCATTTATACACACATTGTAAGTAAAGTATAGGGCAGTGGAGAATAAGGCCAAAAGGACTGATATAAATCCAATAGCATCGTTCTGTGGGCCTCAGTCCCTCACATGCCGTGGTGAGAGCATGCCCACTTACGTTTGACAGAAGGACTGTACATTTATTTACCACTAGACAGAAATATTTTCCTTTTAAAACATGATTTTCAAGCTGACTGAATAACTACACTCAATTGTTCAAAAGTAAGCAGCTTCTCTTTTCTGGGGGAACTAGTGAGCCACTAACTGAAAGGCAAGGATCAAAGTCAGAGGTGATGTAAAATGTGGTGTAACTTACTGATGTAAGTGGGTATAATTTATATAATGAAGGGAAAAAGGCAGAATTGTTACAGGAAAGTCAACCAAAAGTAGGGTTTAAGACAACGTACCTCTAAAGCTACTGAAATGAATTTGCCTTGACACAGTTCAAGAGGGACAGCCAATGCTTGGTAATGGAGAAATGCTTGAAAACGTGAAATTCCTAATTACTATATTGCTGACATTCCTTCCTACCAAGCAAATCCATCCCTAAGATTTTTCGCCGATCAATGGACTGGGAAGCTCTTTCTGTGGTCACAAATACAATAAGCAACCAAGAGCAGGATGCTAGTAAAACAGTCAGATCCATTTTGAAGACGTGGATATATTTTATATTCCCTTTTGAACAGGGATGGGTACAAGGCTGAGCCAGAGATCATGGACTGTCTCAAGGCGGCTTTTTTGGAATGGATGGCCAGGTTCTCCTGCCATTGTTCCAAAATATCAATCTGCTGTCTTCACCTACAAAGAGGAAAAGAGCTGATAGTCACAAAGAATCATAGAACCATAAGGTTGGAAGGGACCACAAAGGTCATCTAGTCTAACCCCCTGCCAAGATGCAGGATTTGTTGTGTCTAAACCATCCAAGACAGATGACTATCTGGCCTCATTTGGAAAATCTCAATTGAAGGAGATTCCATGACTTCCCTAGGCAGGTTGTTCCATTGTCCTACTGTTCTTACAGTTATGAAGTATTTCCTGAGATTTAATCTAAATCTGCTATGCTGTAGTTTGAACCCATTGCCTCTTGTCCTGCCCTCTGTGGCAAGATAACAATTTTTCTCTATCTTTCTTATGGCAGCCTTTCAAGTATTTGAAGACCGCTATCATGTCCCCCTTTAATCTCCTCTTTTCCAAACTAAACATACCCAATTCCTGCAGCCTTTGCTCATATCACTTACATTCCATCCCTTTGATAATTTTTGTTGCTCGCCTCTGGATCCTTTCCAGTTTCTCTACATCCTTTTCATACAGCAGTGACCAAAATTGGACACAGTATTCCAGCTGAGGCCTAACCAGTGCTGAGTGGAGTGGTATTATCTCCCATGACTTGCATAGTATGCCTCTGTTTATGCAACCCACAATTGCATTTGCTTTTATTTTTGTTTGCAACAGCATTGCATTGTTGACTCATGTTGAGGTTGTGATCCACCACAACTCCCAGATCCTTCTCAGGAGTGCTGCTGCAGAGCCAGTTATCCCCCATTCTGTATTTGCGCATTTGGTTTTTGTTCCCTAAATGTAGCACCTTACATTTGTCTTCATTGAATTTCATTTTGTTGTTGATAGCCCAGTTCTTCAATTTATCAAGATCCCTTTGAATTTTAGCTCTATCCTCCAAGTGTTGACAAGCCCCCCTAGCTTTGTGTCATCTGCAAATTTGATCAGTATGCTCTCTATTCCTACATCCAGGTAATTAATAAAGATGTCAAGCAACACCGGACCCAGAACAGATCCTTCTCCAGTGACAGGTAGAAGGTTAGAAGGCTGACTCATAAATTGTGGCAACTAGAGGTCAATATGGCCAAGGAGTTCAGAATTCATAAAGAAAAGGTGGTTGTCCTATGGAGGTATCCAGGTTCTAGAGATGCCCAAGGCAGATAAATCCTGTCTGCAAGAAACCTTAATGTGTCTACGGGTGGAGTACAAGAGAGATCCTGATTGTGGGCTTGGAGGATAAGGACCTACAAAGGAAGAGTCTTGAATCTGAGACTCCCTGAGACTCCTTGCAAACTCCACTGTTGGCAGTGAGGCCAAACCCAAAAACTAAGACCCAAGACTGTCCAGGCATCCAGCACTAATGAAACCTGAGGAGTAATGGGCAAAGAAGTCCTACTTTGCTCCACAAAAGTCACCCACCCCAAGTCAGGGTCAAATGTCATCCACAATTAAACCAACACACCCTGATTTGGGGGCACACTCAGCAGAAAGAGAAAAGATTCTAAGGACCAGCACTCACTGCTGAAGCATCAACCAGACTGGTTGAAAGTCATCTCTTGGTCCAGAAATCCCTTTGGATCTGATACACTTGTGCTGTTTCACTTGTGAACGAAAGCCAGGGTAGTTCTCAAAACGGCAGTACTCTTGCTGCCTTTTACAAAGGCCTGCATTCTCCAAGCCCTTATGTACCTTGTTGTCAGAGTTTCTGGCTCTTTTTGGTTCTGTGCCACTTCCACAATCTCTGAAGATGTGTTGAAGCTAAGGTTGCTGACATGCTTGCCTGGCTTATATCACGAAACAGGGGAGTTTATATCCTTTACATATTTTTATCTGGTCTAACTTAGCTGTGGATCCTGTTAAACTCAGGATTTGCAATGAGTTCCACAGGATAATTTCCCTTTTATATCATGTCATCATTAATTCATCAACTCTCTAAGCTATATGGCCCTAATCTTTCTATTTGTCTACTCATTTTTGTTGCCCTTCTCTGTACCTTTCCTATTTCTGCTGAATGATTTTTGAGGTCAAGTGCCCAGAACTGAACACACTGTCTAGGTATGGTTATACCACTGATTTACACAACAACATTATAATATTTTCATTATTATTGTGACAGACCCAGACCAGTGGAGTACAGGAGTCTGGTAGAGGGCAAATATACTGGTCACTGGATGAGTAGTTTTCTGTTCCCTGAGTGACCAGAGCAGGGGCTGCACTAGAGTAATCAGGAACCTGCTAAAACCAGTTAAGGCAGGCAGGCTAATTAGGACAGCTGAAGCCAATTAAGAAGAAGCTGCTAGAATCAATTAAGGCATGCTAATCAGGGCACCTGGGTTTTAAAAGGAGCTCACTTCAGTTTGTGGTGCGAGTGTGAGGAACTGGGAGCAAGAGGCGCAAGGAGCTGAGAGTGAGAGGGTGTGCTGCTGGAGCACTGAGGAGCACAAGCGTTATCAGACACCAGGAGGAAGGTCCTGTGGTGAGAATAAGGAAGCTGTTTGGAGGAGGCCACAGGGAAGTAGCCCAGGGAGTTGTAGCTGTCATGCAGCTGTTACAGGAGGCACTATAGACAGCTGCAGTCCACAGGGCCCTGGGCTGGAACTTGGAGTAGAGGGCGGGCCTGGGTTCCCCCCAGACCTCCCAATTGACCTGGACTGTGGGTTCTCCCAGAGGGAAAGGTCTCTGGGCTGTTCCCCAACCCACATGGTGAATCTCTGAGGCAAGAAAATCCGCCAATAAGCGCAGGACCCACCAAGATAGAGGAGGAACTTTGTCACACTGCTGTCAGGTGTGGGATCTT